TCTCAATATATTAATCTAAGTCTGTTCAATTCTACATATATTAATACTTCAGTCCGTAATCCACGGTTTTGAGCGCTCTACATTTATTTCGATATTTAAAAGAATATATCGTCGTACGCTGAGCACGCCCTGTATGCCCGGTACGACTCTATATTCTTCGGTAACTTTCCACTCTTCAAACAGCGTGTGTACTGGAGCTCGCCCTGAAAGCTCTGCACGCTTGCCGAAGTAGTACATAATTGTATATAATTATTGCAGTAAGTTCATGTATATTCAAGCAGATTCTCAATATATTAATCTAAGTCTGTTCAATTCTACATATATTAATACTTCAGTCCGTAATCCACGGTTTTGAGCGCTCTACATTTATTTTGATATTTAAAAGAATATATCGTCGTACACTGAACTCGACCGTATATTCTTCGGTTAGTTTCTACTCTTCAAATAGCGTGTGTACGAGCTCGCCCTGTATGCCCTACACGTTTGCCGAAGTAGTATTGTATATGTAATTACTGTAGTAAATTTGCGTGTGTTCAAGCAAAGACCCAAAATGCTACGTCGCGCCGAACGGAAGTATCGACTAAAGAAGCATAATCGTATTGCCCAAGGGATACCGTATATCCCGCGGCATTATCACCGCGATCAATCTGAGACGCAGCCTGCCGTCAACGAAGAGATCTCAGAGAGCAATCATGAGACAGCTCCTGAAATTTGCTTCGATTCTCCGGCGAACCCGCCGGAGTCGTCTAAAACGTGTCCGATGATGCTGAGAAACCGAGAAGAGGAACGAATATACAACGAGATACAATCGACGAGATATACCAGCGCCTCTACAAATACTGATCAGCACCGGTGAGTCACTTGTTGCCAAGTTCTTCTCTTACTACTCGTCACGAGATCCTTTCGCGCGAAGTGTAACGGTGTTTTAGTTCGAAGCAACGTGTTTAGTGGTTAGATTGCGACGCAACCAGCGAGGTGACTCGTGGTGGGGGCAGTAGTGGGGATAGCAACTACGGTCCATGTTAAATGACGTGAACACTGTGAATCGAACACGCTACGTTGTGTCAGATAGCGATGACCTTCGCGTAGCATGTAATATGGACTTGCGCGTCTATCCCTACTACTAGCTCCACCCCGAGTCAACTGCGTCGGTTTCCGTTGCAATCCGAGTGAACCTGAGCATATTGGTTATAAGCCACCTATACGCATCATCCGGAACCACAATCATATCACAAAGAAACGCGTCGCGTAGATTCAAACGGTTGATGACAGACGTCTTATTTTGCGGTAAATTCCGCGAAAATATATCTTTATGTTATAAAGTCCGTCGGACCTAACAATAATAATAGGTAAATTGGGTAGAAATTTTCGACATTCCCTCGCAAATGCCGCAAATTTGATAGTATGGAATCTGTAGGGCTGCAGGAAATTTGTTACAGATGTTGTTAATTTGATAAACCAGATAGAAAGAAATTGTACTCACTGCTATAGTTGGCGCTGTAGGTAACAATCCTGTCATCGATAAAAAGTTCCACAAGTTTGAGCGTTTTGCCACTACGCGTAATGGCGCTAAATTTATATTTTAAGCAGCAAATGATTCTTGCCGAAGTTTACCTTCCTTCTTGCGGGATGCGCGGCACGAATTTATTAATCTTCATAACAGAATGATTTTTTTGCCCAATTTTCAACTTATATTGTTAAAGATGATATATTCTACATTTCGTTTGTGATCGATTAGACTGTCAAATGTTTGCAGCTTCCAGACTGATCCTGTAATTTTCTTTGATCCTCCGGAGAGCCCGCCGGAGTCGTCTAAGACGTGTCTGATGCTGACAAACCGAGAAGGGGAACGGATTTACAAAGCGAGAAATACCAGTGTCTCTATAAATACTGATAACCAACGGTGAGTCACTAGTTGCTAAGTTCTTCTCACACTAAATTCTTTTCGCGCGAAAGATGACGTCATGATTTAAACGGAAGTGTAACAATACATAAACAGTGTGCTCAGCAGTTAGATTGCGACCAAAACCGGTCAGGTGACTCATGGTAAGGATAGTACGGGCGATTTTCGGTATTCTCCCACAAATGGCGCAAATTTGATAGTATGAAATCTGTAGAGCTTCAGGAAATTTGTTACAGATGTCGCCAGTTTGATAAACTAGATAGAAAGAAATTGTACCCACTGCTATAGTTGGCGCTGTAAGTAACAACTCTATCGTCGATAAAAGCTTCCACAAGTTTGAGCGTTTTGCCACTACGCGTAATGGCGCTAAATTTATATTTTAAGCAGCAAATGATTCTTGCCGAAGTTGACCTTGCTTCTTGCGGGATGCGCGGCACGAATTTATTAATCTTCATAACGAAATGATTTTTTTGTCCAATTTTCAACTTATGTTGTTAAAAATAAAACATTCTACATTTCGTCTGTGATCAATTAGATTATCAAATATTTGCAGCCTCCAGACTGATCCTGTAATTTCCTTTGATTCTCCGGAGAGCCCGCCGGAGTCATTTAACTCGGCGTGTTCAATGATGCAGGAAGATGGAGAAAAGGAACGGATTTACGACGATTTAAATCCTTTTCATCAACGGTGAGTCACTAGTTGCCAAGTTCTTTTCCCACTGACTACATACATAGTATACAACATAGTTTCGCTCGACTCGAGTTTCGTTCTATCTCTCTCTCTCTCACGAGGAGTCGGTAACAATAAAGGCGAGCCGCGAGGCTCGACGAAATCAATTCCTGCGTATTACTCTCGACACTTTAGAATTCGGTCCCGGCGACAGACAGGGAGATATTACTGTACTCGTTACCACGTCACGAGATTCCATCGCGCGTCGTGACGTCATGAGTTAACTGAAAGCGTAACAGTTCAACATTGGTGCTAGTACAAGTAGTGTGTTCAATGGTCGGATCGCGACGGGAACCGATCAGACGACTCGTAGTGGGGGTAGTAGTGGGGATAGCATCCATAGCCCGTGTTATACGATGCGAACATTGTGAAACGTAGATACACGATTCAAACACGATACGTCGTGTCAGATGGTGTCGACTGTCGTGTAGCATGTAACATGGACATTCGTGCTAAGGCTATCTCCAATACTATCTCCACGCCAAGTCAATTACGCCGGTTCCGTTGCAATGTGTGTGAATCTGACCATATTGGTTATAAACCACTTATATGCATCATCCGTGACAACGGTTATACGACGAAGAAACGTGTTGCGTAGACTAAAACGGTTGATGAAAGATGTCTTATACTGTGGTAAAATCCGCGAAAATATATTTTTATGTTATAAAGTCCGTCGGACCTAACAATGATAATAGGTAAATTGGGTAGAAATTTTCGATATTCTCTCACAAATGGCGCAAATTTGATAGTATGAAATCTGTAGAGCTTCTGGGAATTTGCTACAGATGGCGTCAATGTGATAAACTAGATGGAAAGAAGTTTAGCTCACTGCTATAGTTGGCGCAGTAGGTAACAATCCTCTTGTCGGTAAAAGTCCCACAAGCTTGAGCGTATTGCCGCTACGTGTAATGGCGCAGAATTTACATTTTAAGCAGCAAATGATTCTTGCCGAAATTTACATGGCTTCTTATGGAATGTACGGTACGAATTTATCAATCTTCATAACCAAGTGATTTTTTCGTCTAATTTTCAACTTTTGTTGTTAAAAATAACATTCTATATTTCGTCCGTGATCTGTTAGACTGTCAAATGTCTGGATGTATATTATTTTTCATGTTGAAAGTTTATATGGAACTTCTTCTCTTCTTCAAGCTATAATAAAAGCGTTAACAAGACAAGAATAGACAAGAATAGTTTAGAAAAATCTAAGATCTAGTGAATCTACAATTTTCTTGATCGTGGGCTCCTCATTAATTATAAAATCTTAAATCGTCTGTTTCGTCATTAATAATGAGCGAATGCTATAAAATTCTGAGGACATCAATAATTCAGAGAAATCGTGAATCGGTCTACGTTTAAATATAGAATTTCCTTGTATATTGAATGATTGCCTATTGGTCATAGGCTTGCGTGGTCTGGGAGTAAAGCTCTCGAGAGTTGCTCTATATTTTTGTACACGCGGGACCCGCCAGGCCCTTTACCCCTGCCCGCGTCTTGCCTAACTGTGCTGTGGAGCCTCGTGACTAGCGTCGTACTAGGTCTACTGCCAGGTAGCTACAGTAATGTCTCTCTAATTGACGCCCAAATTGCGCACAAAAATGGATAATTTGGGAAGAGAAGATACGATTAATCGAGCCTTGCGACTCGTTTTTATACTAGTTGACAATCGGTAACTATAAAAACGAGCCGAAAGCTTATTTATGTATTATATAATATTTTATACATATTTATATATTATTATATATCATATATTTATCGAATAATCGTATCTCCTCTTCTTAAATCGTCCATTTTTGTGTACAATCTGAGCGTCAATTAGGGAGAATTTACAGCATTGTGCAATTGCCGGTAGCACCGCTCTGGTATCGAATTCACAGTTACGAGGCAAATTATGGCTGCAGATGAAATTTCTATCACAGGTGCGAACATCGAAAGGCTAATTTCAAGTTCAAATCGGCAATTTTTGGAAGAGGAGATACGATTCTTCGAGCCTTGTGACTCGTTTTTATAGTTACAGTGTTTTTCCTTAATAACTCGTAAACAAAGCCACGGGTTGCATTTTCGCTAAGGAAAAAATTACTTCAAATGATCCCAGGAACTTCTTATTTCCGGTTTGCGAAACATTTTTGGAATACCTTGTATATGAAATTATATAATATATAAATAACCCCGCGGCTCGCTTTTATAGTTACCGATTGTCATCAACTATAAAAACGAGCCGCAAGGCTCAAATAATCGCATCTCCTCTTCACAAAATTATCCAATTTAGTGGACGATCTGAGCGCCAGTAAGGGAGACATTACTGTACTTCGAAACCGATTCGTTTTGTGAGCATAGTTATCTTACAGTGACCCTAGTACGACTCGAGCCTCGAAACTCCCCATACAGTTAGGCAAGACGCGGGGAAGGATAATGACCTGGCGGATCCCCCATAACACCCTTCGTGACATGAATTTGTATGAAACCTTCTCACCAAGCCCAGTGCTCTGCCCTTCTTGTATCTGTTTGTTACCTATCCTAAAAAACTTCGAATTATCAGGAAGAAAAATATTATTTCTCGGGGACACTCCATCCTGCCTTTTTTCGTGGCATACCAGTACTTTCACTGATGCTATTGACTTCAGGGCCAAGGTTGGGCTTGCCCTCGTCTTGGAACGAGTACGATCTGCTCACTATAATCTTGTAGAAAGTACCGCACCTATGGCCATTCTTCTTAACCATTGTAATTACTGAAAACAGAATGTCTACTAATTATCTTATACACTATTAATTACATTTCACATTGCACTTCTCTTATCGCAAATTTCATTATTGCTTTAACTCATTGACTGCCACGCAAATTTAGCGCGTCTTGCCTTGGGTGCCACGGTTTTATTTGAAAGAAAACATGAAGTTTTACAAAATATAATAATATTAAGTTACTGATATAATATTGCAATGGCGTTTACAGTATTTTTTTTATGGATAATCAATATGTTCTCTACACTATATACATTTTTCATTCATCCTTTCTAATAGTTCCTAACTCAAATAGCCATTTGTAGCCAATCTAAACTTGCAGCACCCATTACGAGATATCTCATAGCTAGCAGTTTTGGTACAGACGCTTACTACGAGGTATCTCGTAGTTGGCAGTCAATGGGTTAAAGAGGAATCGATAGCATGCACCTCGACTTACTTCTATTTCATGCAAACTCAATCATATTTACCATTGTTACGATTACCGTTAACAATTTATTTTGCGGTGCATGTGATCGGTTAGTCGTCGTATCGTCAGAAAACAGATAAAACTGATGCATTAATCCATTAAGCAAGATTGAAGCAAAAGTAGAATGTGCACGCACATAAAGTCACGTACTCTAGAGGCACGGTCATTCTCTTTCCCAGATGAACCGTCCTGGTTTCATCGGATGAAACGTGACCAAGCGCTGCTCAATAATAACGCTGATATTGCGAAATGTCATAGAAAAGTTACCATGTATTATATACATATGTATACGTATAAAAACTTCATTGCTTTCACGAATCATTCACGGTCTCGGAAAGCTTTAAAACCAGTGTGTACTTTACCAATTATTCGGCCGATGCAAAAGTTGATGCAACGTGCGCGTTTTTCCCCACGCCAGGAAGTTTCGCTGAACGTATCAGCAATTGCGTCACGAACATAACTGGAAGCGTGAAAAGACGTTCTTGTAATTTACTGCTGTCGGCATTGTCAACGGTGCTATTAAAAAACGCGATTAAATGTGTATATATAGCTGGTAGAAAACCGTTCCTTCTAAAGCTAGAATGAAAAGGTTGTACAGAGATGTCAGTATTACAATATTGCTTCGATAAGTACGTATTGAGTAGACTGCAATAAGTCTTCATGCAAATTCAGAATGAGGAGAAAATTTCTTCTTTTACATTTTACACACACACGTATAAGTTGTCATGAACACAAAAAGCTGCTGTCTAGTAACGATTAGAATTTTTATACATTTATGAAAACCGTTCCTTCTAAAGGTAGAATTTTAGTCATTTGTTAGCATACTTGTCCCTCCATCATCTAAAAAAGAAATTCAAGTCATTCAGTCCAGGTTGAAAAAAAAGTTACACCGCTTTTCAAGTGGTTCTAAGTACAATCTATTGTCGCTACTATTATCAGTCTATATCAAGCCTGCACTCGAAAAGCGAAGCTGAACTATTGTCAGTCAGGCAGCTCGGAAACGGTCAGATTATTCCGAAACACATGACCGTCGCCGACACTGACTGCGTTTTTGGCAGCGTTACCATAATAACCATCGCCTCTGCAACCTGTCGGAATCAAGTCCAAGAAACGGTTGAACGTGCCTTCCGTCACGTCATCCTTCGCTCTTCTGTTTGTCTAGCGAGATTCACAGGAAGAAGTGAAACCTGAAAGCGACTACATGAGAGAGGGAGAGAGAGAGAGAGAGAGAGAGAGAGAGAGAGAGAGCGAGAGAGAGCGAGAGGACGAGAAAGAGAGAGCGAGAGAGAGAGCGAAAGAGCGAGAGAGAGAGAGAGAGAGAGAGAGAGAGAGCGAGAGATTGAGGAGAACTTGTCCAAAAGAGGAGGCGTCGAAAAGGATCATGATCAAGATCACGCAGCGTCGAATTACTAGCACGTGCTCTCGGTTGCGTCATTTTACGTTTCTCTAAAATACATTCCTTATTTTAAACAGTTTAATGAAACCGATGTAGGACCACAGTACTTTTCAATTCGTTCAATATCTTCAGTTTCGTAGGAAATTCATTTACTTTTGTCGCAACCGCTTAACTATTGCAAACTTTTTGTTAGCGTAAAAAAAGCACACGGAATTTCGCATTTTAAAGTCCCGCGGTGCACGTGGCGAAACGAAATTTGTTTATGTGTGGTACTGCAGCGCCGGCTACTGTGATGCGATCAATCGCTATGCCTTCGGTTCATTTTTAGGGCATTATATTTGCCCTAATTATATG